TATACAGGTACAAAATGTCTTAAAACATTACATCTTCATTTTTTAAAATCATTGTTTAATTTCCTCCTTAAAAAAAGAAATCTGGCCCTAGCTGGTTTGGCTAAGTGGATAGAGTGTCGGCCTGCCAACTGAAGGGTCTCAGGTTCGATTCCGGTCAAGGGCACATGCCCGAGTTGCGGGCTCGATCCCCAGTAGCGGATGTGCAGGAGGCAGCCAATCAATGATTCCCTCTCATCACTGATGTTTCTCTCTCTCTCTCTCTCTCTCTCTCTCTCCCTTCCTCTCTAAAATTAATAAAAAATATATATTAAAAAGAAATCTGCCCGGCTGGTGTGGCCCAGTGTTTGTGCGTCCCCCCATGAACCAAGAGGTCACTGGTTCAATTCCCGGTCAGGGCACATGCCTGAGTTGCGGGCATGATTCCCCAGTGGGGGTATGTATAGGAGGCAGCGATCATTGGTGTTCCTCTCTCATCCATGTCTCTACATCTCTATCCCTCTCCCTTCTTCTCTCTCTAAACAATAAAAACATATTTAAAAAAAAATCTTTGCCTTGGCCGGATAGCTCAGTTGGTTTAAGTGCGATCCCAATATGCCAAGGCTTTGGGTTCTATCTGGATCAGAGCACATACAAGCAGCCAATGAATGCATAAATAAGTGGAACAAATCAATGTTTCTCTGTTACACTCCCCCTTCCTCTTTCTAAAAAATCAATAAATTTTTAAAAATATTTGACAAAGAATTATTCAAGAGTAAACTAACAATGTATAGCATTATCTACCATGCAACTCTGTGCTAAGTAAAGAATAGGCGAAAAGACCCCTTATTTGGGGGTTTTACTAGAACTACAGGTTTAGTAATTCTCTATTATTTCTTCTTCCAATTATCACATCTCTCAGGAATGTTGACTGTGAACATTCCTTGCCCTGAGAAAGCTACAAACAATATTATAACTCTCTAGTATAGAAAAAGCTTGCAACAGGATAAATCACAACACAACATACTGAAATAAATACCTTTATACAATAACCTACTTCATCAAATATTCCTCATATGTAAATGATTGCAAATCCCTCTTCAATACTTCAAGTTAATAAACTGAATAATATTTCCATTATGAGAGAAAGTCCATTTTCAGTTGTCAATTTTATTACACCCTCTCCCCCAAAATGCTACGAAATGAAACAAGACATAATATAACTAGATACCTTGTTGGAATAATAAACCTTTCCTGTTTTAAGGGGTCCACACCTATCTATCTTATTCCTGGAGCATGCACATCAGGTTATTTTCTAAAATGCAACAGTAGAATTTAGGTCTTTTTCACAACTATTTAACAAAAACCGTATCCATCCGCCAAAAATTGGGAGCAAATGTTTTTAAATTTATCCTTTACACTGAAAATATTGTTAACAGCAGCACTAAAATGACCTATTCTATATACAATTCCCAATCTTATATTAAAGATTTAAATCTTACATTACTGTATGTAAGTACTGTCAATATCTTGTAACATAAAATAGGAACAAAGAGAGTTGAAGTTGAGAGCTGGCCCCAGTATGGTGTGATGACAAAATACTAAACTGCCTAAAAATAGTTCACTTTCCCAATCTCTGATTTTTAAATGGGAAAGTGTGGTTTCTTAATGACATTCTAAAAATAAAAATAAAAGTCTTATTTAGGAATAGAATTAAAAGTATTTTTCACTCCTAGATAGCCAATCAAAATTTGCTTCCAAATCCCATACCATATTTTCAAACAAGCCACCAAAGCAAATGCATTAAAAAATAATTTTTAATAGGATAAACACTTCAACCATCAACAAATAGCAACAACAAAAAACATGGATACCAGGCAAGGATGTTTTTAAAAGAAAAAACTAGAATGGGAACAGATTTCTCATGATAATCCATATGTCTTTACCCTAACATACACAAGGAAGATTTAGATGTAGTTCCTCTGAATTATCTGATTTGGGGGGGAGGGGAGAGGTGTGAGTATGGAAAGAACTGTCACACTAAAGGTTCTATTTCAATGTTTAAGAATGTTCCTTTCCAGATTGATATTCCGGAGAAAAAATAAAAGTCTGGAATTATAAACTATTAGTGCATTTCTGAGTTTACCTTCCAGATACAATGAGTGAAACTATGTGTCTGTCTATAAAGGAAAAGTTTAGGTGAACCTCTCAATCTTACTAGTTTGAGCAGCAGACCAAGTAGATCAGCTATATTGTTACACAATTTGTGGGTTTAATAACAACTATTTTTAAATCCCCCAGGTAGTTTCATTAAAAAGCTATTACAGGGTCAGAAGCAGCTAATTTGGCACTACTAACAATATAATCTGGAAAAAGGGCTTTTCCCAAGTGATACCAGGTTATGAATTTTTTTGCCTGTAACTGCAGGGCCAAGCTCTCATCTTCCTGAATTATTGCAATTGTTTCCAAAAACATTGCTCTGATATACAGACTCGGTGTGACCTAAAGGACTATTCTACTTAAATGTATTCACACTTTATTGAGATAACGCAATGGATTACGTCTTAATGTGTTTGAGGCTACAAACGTTAGACAAAACACTCAGATAAAATGAGGTTATTCCCATTGAATGAAAGGTGCTTTTATTATCATCCTATTTAGTTTATGCAGTGCCATTCGCCATCTACATTCGGCTCACTTTGACACTAAGAGATATTACTCACACGATCAAAGGTACAAAAATTACTACATGAATGGCAAAGCATTTCATCTCCACCACAGAAACACCCATCTTACAGCTTAAAAGAGCTGCAGGAGCCTACACAGTCTTTTTGTAAAACTATAGAAACAAAATTCACTCCCCGCCAGCAGTGTCCTTCTCATCTTGCCTACTTTAATTTTAGATGCTTTGTCCAACTTCCCCTTCATGAATCAAATCAATTTCAACTTAGAAAACGTGAAAGAAAAAAAAAGTTTTTAAGATTTGTTACACATCATGTATCCCTACTAAGTTTAAAAAGTTACTGAAATATTAAGTTCCTATGAAGGTAATAAAGCCTGAACACATCAAATGAGTCGCACGCAGGCCCTGGAGACCACCGTGCTTCAGCCGATGAGAAAGCGGGGAGGAAGCCGCTGGCGAAAGCCTTCCAATGACTGTAAAACAGACCCACAACAGCAAACCCAGGAGAATCTCACCCAAGTCATTTAACGTAATGGTAAATTTTGAAACTTTAAAAAAATATCCTCACTTGGCTACAGTTTATCTTTATTTTGTAATAATAAATTTCGATCTATTTTCTTTCCTATAAACTTAACAGCTCCCCTGATCTAACCATGAGACAGCTGGTTAGAATGGGTAGTCGATCAGATCTTTAGTTGTAGTTTTCTAACAATGACTCTGCCCACAGAATGTAGAATCAACCTATTCCCGACTGTCAACTCTCTCAAAGCTGTGACTGTTGGCTACAACGATGAGCATGTGACAAACACACCTCTAGCCCTGCTCGCTCAATTTTACGTAATGACACTGACCTTTCGGAAAGAGGAATCTTCAAACCAGCTAACAAAATAAGCCTCCCCCACACACATAATACCGTAGCACACAGGGTGCATCCATCTACAACATGGATGGGACCCAGAACTCGTGTGGGTGGTGGCAGGGTGAAGACAAGGGCTATGGGGCGCCCCAACAAATCGCGAGGCTAATAAAAACCCTCAACAAGAAACTTTTTAATGTAACTAAAGACCCGAGGCAGGCAGAATGCCCCCGTACCCCCATAACGCCCACGGAATAAATGCCTCCTGAACACATCGGGACTCGCACAAGTTTCCCCGAAAAGGCCCGAGTACACGGAGGGAACTAGAAATCGCAGGCGGCCACGCTGCGGCGAAAAAAAAACGGCTCCTCTGGACGCCCAGGGACTCAGCTTCATCCCTGGCCCAACCACTCACTCCCGGAGTGACCTTGGGCCAACCATTCCCTCTCTCTAGGCCTCAGTTTCGTTCTCTTTTGAGCGAGAACGTGAAGTCTTTCTGTTCAGAGCGTCAACTCTGGCCCAACTTCCTGTGATTCCGAATGGGCTTTTGGGCAGCCAATAATCAATGCCAGAAAGGAAAAAAAAAAAGCTGAAAACCGGTTCTGTGGGTCAGAAGCAAAGGCACCGTGGCTGGAAGAAGAGCAAGTGGACCCTGACCCAGCAGAGCACCGCGCCGGGTGTGGGGGGCGGAGGGGCCCGGGGGAG